GTAGAAAGACATCAGGATTTTATTGACCGTCTTTTCCCACGCCTGTACAAAAAAAGAGCACATAACAGCCACATTACAACTGATATCATGATTTTGCTTGTCGCAAATACGATTCAACGTTCAAGTTTAACTAGTAGCCAAGCTGACAAATTAACCTGCTGGATCGTCCTGGTAGCAGTTTTGCTACTGCAAAAAGCCCCTGTCATATGTTGTATATATATATATATATATAGATAGATAGATAGATAGATAGATAGATAGATAGCCTTCCCATGTTTTTGCTCCGACCACTTCCCGACCAAAATTATCTGGTGAGAATAGTATAATTATAACTTTTACGGCTGGGGCAAACGGCTTGTACAGACTATTTGGGTAGACCGTCTACCAGGCTTCGGGAGGCGACTGGAAAGAGTAGAAATTGGACAAATAGAGAGATAACAATTCAGTGGAGTTGGTCCGCTAGAGAGTAGGATGCGCACCCGGGTACGGCAAAATGTACTTTCTAGCGGACCAACTCACTCGGTATGTTATCTCTCTACTTGGCCAATTTCTACTCTTTGCAGCCGCCTCCCGAAGCCTGGTAGAGGCTACGTAATGATCCCAACCACAAACTAACTACGTATAGCAGCTGTCTGTTCGGGGGGGGGGGGCATGGTCGGCTGTGACCGTGAGGAACAAAGAACGCATTCGACAAGATAGTACCGAAACACCATCTAAAGCTTTATCATGTTGTCCTTTGATTAAAGAAATCGCTACTATACAGGATGAAGAATGTTTGTCCAATCTCACGAGGTAGTCAATAATTAATGGAATCAATTAGCAAAAAAGTGCACCTTCTTAGAAACATCGATATCGCTCCTCTGACTGTAACTACCAGGACCACAACAGCAGAAACTGTGAGAAAAATCCCGACCAGGTGTCCTGAAAGACAAAGACTTAAATAAGACCTAGGAAAGTAATGTTGTGTTTCCGACGATCCTGAAAAATGGGGTCAGTAGGTAGCTACAGAGATGACTTCCGAGTATTGTTTTACTAAGGCCATGTTGATTTGATTATATGGATGACATCCCCTGGGAACCGCAAAACTGATGCGCGCGTGCGAATAAAAAAAAAGTTTTGCGAAAAAAAAGTTGCTTTCACTATGAAATCTACGTGGTCATGAAGGTTGAACAAATGGCACAGAATATGTTATGGCGAATAATCTACTCTTCGAATTCATTTCTTTACAGTTTTGTCTTTTTTCCTTTGATTTTGGCATTCTACGACATTGGTATCGTTTCTAAATGTTTTCCTTGCAACATATGGTATATTTTTGCTCATTTAGCAACTGTTTTGCACGATTTACAGTATGGTTGAAAACTTTTTTTTTTGGAAACGGCCGAAAATTCATGCGCGCGCGGATGTCATCCATATAATCAAATCAACATGGCCTAAGTATAAAACCTGCTAACCTACAAATATATAGCGACGTAATTTGTCTCACTTTTGTGTTAAAAGTGTAATATAGTACCTGAATATGGAGGATCATTGGCAGCTTCATCGCTAAGATGCTCCATGTTTAACACGCTGAAGGACAGCTTGCCGTCATTGTTCTCCTCCACTTCGCCCCCCTCCCCCGATGCCTTCTCCCTCATAATCCTCCTCCTCGTCTCTGCCCTGTATCACCTCTGTTGTCGCGCGCCGTTCTTGTTTGTCGTCTCCGTTGGATTGGGGGTTTCTTCTTTCTCGTTCCCCTTCTTCGCTGTCTTGCGTGACTTTTTTGGTCCCCTGCCTTCTTAAACTGTAGTAAGAGCCCTTTAGGGGTAAGAAGTCAATACGTTATCCCTGTTTGTGGTGTAACCCAATGGCAATGATCGTTAGTCTATTGGTAGAGTAGCTAGTTTTCGTCAAATGTCTGGGAGCTTCTAGATGATGCAAACAAACGATCACATGAGTACTAGCTGCGCTACGGTTTTGCTGTTCGAATAGACCGATCCTCAGACTGCCCATCAGCTGTTCAACCAATGAGAGAATAACAATAGTGGTTCGACCAATGAGAGAGTGGCTCCATGTCTGTCAAATATCTTAATTTTTACATTTCTACGTTTTATCGAAGGTGGTCGGGGCTTTGGGGTCTGTCTATTCACGCCGAGAGAAACTATACGGCTGAAGTAATTCTATCAACATACATCTATGATTGTGTCGAGTTGTGACCCTACCCTGCGGCATGCAGAGACGTCCATTTAGTGAACAAAGACCCTTTTGAAAGTCAGTGTTGTTTTTTTCTTGGTGAACAACCGTAACTATAGGTTATCGTCTTACCAGGCACCAACACCGGAGTGTATGTATGGTGTATATACACCCACTCGTGCAAATTAAACACTTTAAATGACAAACCATTGACGTATAACCAACCATCGTGATGTGTAACTTTTATAACATCCTTAGAAATTAACCTACCGATAATCCCACGCTGTGGGGCTTGGCAATAGTGAAGAAGAATAAGAAGAATTATACCTATATTTTTATTCGTAAAGGAACTTTCTAATATCACTTTGAATCAAACAAAGCATACAAGGGATTTCCCGTTTGAAATGCTAACCTCAGTCCGGAAATGTAATATACTTACTTCAAAATTATTTTCCCCCGTGCACCAAATATATTTTATTTGATCATATAGAATTTGCTTATCAAGTTACTGAGATACTACAGTTTGCAGATACATGTAGAGTCTTCTACACTGGCTTATTGGATATTGGTTTCTGCCCCTCATCATTGTATAACGAGAGCGCATGAAAATCACACATACCTAGCTCGTCGTCCGACACAGGATCACTGTTGAGATGAACGGCGCTCAGTATGAAAACAAGCAGAAAGGCCGCTAGAATACAGCAGGCGACTTTTCTATGTGTGGCAGCCATCTTTGGAAAGCATCCAGTAAATACACAAATAGTTGACAACTTCACTGCAGCGTCGTTATAGATGTAGAAGGCTCAATTCCTCTTGATGAAGTTGCCTCGAAATTTTGCTCCGCATCCTATCACGTACGTTCTTGAATTGAAACAAGTCAAAACATTTCAGACACCAAGTTGTGGTTTGGCCAATTCGCCCCGCAGATAGACTTTCTGAGCTGGCCGCACAAACGCGGTTTTTATCTAGTGTTATTTCTTCCCATGCTTTCTGCGGCTGGGGTCATAGGCACTGTATCTCCGAGACAATAGCACGAAAATATCGGGTTCCGTGTAGCTAATTTGTTGTTTGGAACCCTTTGACCTCATTTGGGCGGTGAGACGTCCCAGCCTGTTCCACGTGCACCTGTCAGTGCAGTGCCAAATGACACGAAGGGAGTCCACGATTACACTCCGTACATTAGAGGCAGGAACCGCAGAGCGACAAAACAGTTGACAAGTCCTTAGCGAATTACATTTATAGAACCAAGTTCAATTTTTACAACGTGCTGTACGTTTTGTTGTCTTGCTCTAAAATGATAAGCACAACCTTTCGTCAGCGGAAGGCATGAAAATACATATACCACTCTTAAGGTTGCGGGAGGATCTAAGGTCTAAGTAAGGTATAGGTCACTCAACAGACGGGTGTATTAGATTCTCATACCTTCCAATGTATTAAGGTAAGATTACGAAGGAACTGAAAGATACTACCTATATACATAAAGATACACTAATGATGGGGATATTTCACGTACACCTATCGGCTCATTCATACCCCTACATCATGCCTACTTACATTGGTAGATGCATAATGACACAGCGACACTAGAAGATTTATGATTTCCTCCGAAAAAGGTCTCATTATGTAAAGTCTATTCCAAAGCTCCCCTGTTTGTGCTTGCCATGTAGGAGATCCCTATCAACGGATAGAAAGACTCTGTTGAAAACTTTGTCGTCCCTTTTCAAGCGACATGTTTTTCTAAAAGTTACCGGAAATTCCAGAAGGCCGGCCGTTCTATATCAGCCGTACGTGGAATTTTGAGCTTTAGACGCACCGTACCCTGGGCACGCGAGCGTGTCTGGAAACGAGATCGTCATCACGTGACGCAATTGCTTAGCAACCGCGTCTTGACTTCCAGCTGTTTTGAGCACCAGTGGTGGGAGATCGACCCCTCATCTGGTAAATTTCGCGCTAAAGAAAGTACTCGTGGGTTAAAAACTAGTCTCGTTGGAGTCAAGACTAATTTGTTTGGCGCTTCAAGTCAAAAGGCAGGTAAGTTTGGTCTTTATGTAACAGTTTGCAGTGACTGTTTATGTCGATCGCGTTCGTCATATAAGGAAGGGGAGGGGCGGGAGTACAAGTAGGGGGGAACACCGTGTGGCGATGTTACAGTACTCGTTCATGAAGAACGGAAAAGACAGAAAGTCATATTGAATTAGGGCCAACCATACATGAAACAGCTACGAGGGATAAGGGTCAACGTTAAATATTGATAAATGAAGTTCTATTCTAACTATAAGAAGGAGACTCAGAGACTCAGAAGCAGGTGGACACAGCCACAACATAAGCTAAAGGACCTGTTAGGAGTTTTAGTGGTTTGTTTCAAAAGAGAAAGAGTTGTTGAAGAAAGAACTTTCATGTTTCATTATATGAGTTCGAAACATGGCGTTACAGCCATTGACGTAACTTTATGAAATCTTTGACATAGCCTAAGTGCCATCTAGTTTATCTGGTAGGGAGAGAGAATGAGGCCTAGTAACTTAGACAGGATGTCATTCAGGCTATCTTTGACACAAATCCAGACTGATATCAGTCGATATTCAGTATTTTATATTTACATTTAATACCTTCAGGAATCATGAATCTGATGTCTGAACGTGATGCCCCCTTCTGCTCCATGGTGCGAGCGTCTGGCCAGGGTGAGATCTGGACACACACGCACGACGAGCTCAAGTTCACCCAGTTTGGCTGGAGGTCCACCACAAACGAAGAGGGCTACAGGAGCAAAACACTGGTGGGCAACTGGAACGAGCATCGCTTTGACGTAGACCACCAGCGAGTCCCCAGACGCCTTCCCTCCCAATACGAACACTACTTCGACACCACCTACGGCAGTACGCTAAGCACCAAGCCCGCAGAGGTACCAGAGTCCTTGAAACACCTTGCAGAACGGGAGCCCATCGCTTTCCCTGGCAGTCAACCGGAGCTGGACCCACCACTGCTTAAGAACGAGTACAATTCCTTCCAGACAACATCCCGGGCAGCGTATGTTGACCCCAGGGTCAGAAAGGAACCAGTAGTGCCACCAGAAAATGCTACTCAGGGAGTCGGCAATAGTCCTAGCAAGAAGTAAATAGACTTAGCAACACTAAATAGATTCTGTACTAGAGTACATAACCGAGGAAGACCATGCCATGTAACATTATATACAGTAATATTACTGTAGTCAATTCCTTCTTTTTTTTGAGATATGAATATGCCACAAGCATTCCTCTGCCAATACAGTACTACAGTACTAGTCCTGAAAATAAGAGACTAACCAGTGTATCAGAAAGAATTGTAAAAGGACTAGAAAAAACTTGTCTATGTTTACACACATACTCATGTAACATTTAAAGGTACAATTTTGTATTACCAAAATAAAGACACACATGATATGTACTTTGACTTTCTTCCCTTTAATTTCATTGTATTCATTCAACATCCCTAAATTACCTTATCCTTTCAAATGACACTTAATTATATGTATGTGTGAAATAACAAAGTCTTCTGACTTTTTGTTAACAAGAAAAATACTCTAAGCACATAACATAATGAACATTCAATTGTATTTCATGTATTCACTGAGTTTGTTTTTACCTTATCAAGGACTAGATCAATATGACACATGATTCAGGAATGTTATAACAATGTGCCCTATACATTAAAAGAGGTCTTAATCTTGTTGACTGTAAATTCAAAGTAAGTGATACCTAAAGCTTTCCAATTACATGTATACACCATTTTTTTATGACATGCATGTTTTATGAATAGTAACAGCTATAAGAGGATTTTATTATTTCACAGCTTTTGGAACTCTGTTTATAACCAGACGACCATCATAACTAAGGGAGGCGAACAGCCACGGGTCAGCTGTGGACCACTCTGCAGCGTACACACTGTCTTCATGCTCCTCATATGTGCCAATCACACCATCCTTCTCAGGCTCTCTGGGTCTGGAGGGACAAAGAGATGGAGTTAAGATATAATATTTGTCATGACAGGGGAGATCATGTTGAGACACTGATATAGACAGACCCATTCCCTTTTATGCCTTTTCTTGAGTTTTGGCTACAAGTTTTTTGTGCCACCGATGATGACACAAGCACTTTAAGTACAACACCTTCTGTTCAAGTCTTTCTTTCCTTACTTTTCTTTCTTGTTTTCTTCATCTTCCTCACTATCATCATCTTCATCGATGAGATGGCCGAACGGTTCTGAGGAGATGGACACCATGTTGTGTAAGATGACCCTACTGTCACTGCTGGACGTTAGGACCAATTGATCATGGAAGTGGTTGTACCGGACACTCCACACCCTGGAAAAATAGCACACTCACTGTGAATTTGTTCATTTTTGCAATGTTTTCAGTTTGCAGCTGAAACAATTCTCTAGTACACTAGGAAATTCAGAAGGAATGCATATTTGCTGCTTTCCTTTGAAACCTTGTCAGCAATTTAGAATCACATTGTATAACTTGCATGCAGAAACAATGACTACAATTCAACATGATAGCATCCTCACCAGTGGGAATGTTCAGACACAGTTAAAACAGGCTCAGTGCAGTTTCTGACGTCCCAGAATTTGACGTTGCAGTCGTCCCCACAGCTGACCAGGTAGTACTGCTTGTTGGGGTTGAAGTCCAGCTCTCTGACCAGTTGACCATGGGCATTATCAATACAGTACACCTGCCTGTGTTTCCAGAATATAAAAATGTGGTCACTGGACATGCAAAAAGGTGAAAATGGCTACATTTATTTACATTCATTACAATTCAATTGGCATAATTAAAGACTTCACAATCATTCAATGACTGAAGTTATGTATATGTACATGCATGCAATATATACCCAGTATGGGAAAATAATGACAAATATGACTTGTAATTGAATTACATATTATCTTAACCCACAACAAGAAAAAAGTTGCTAGAGTGTTCTAGCCAAGGCTCAGGTACTGTAAATTTTTACTTTTGCAGTGGAGGTTTTCACAGTAGGTAGGTCACCATGAAATTATACCACTGCAAAAGTTTAAGCATTTCCAGTAGTACAATATGTAATGAGAGGACTGACTGCATGGTCCTGACGTCCCAGCCCCTGATGGTGGTGTCGTTAGCAGTGGCCATCTGTGTGCAGTTATGGTGAGGGTTCCACCTGCCGGCTGTGAACTTAGGGTTACCCTTGCCCTCCAGTGTGGCTGAGCTAGACAACTATGGGGGCAAATATGAAATATTCTGGTTATGTATATGACAATAGTCTATTTGAACTTAGGCCACTGCAAGTAAATTGTATGTTCTACCCACATTTATTTTTGTATTGTTTTCAAAATTTCTTTCATTTTTGGTGGAATGGTCGATATGAACTGACAAACAACTATCATGTACAGCAACTGACCATAAAACAGTTGCAACAGCCCAACAATATACCTTAGCCTGAGAACTGCTGACATCCAGGTCCCACATCAGGATGTTGTTCTCTGTGAGTGAGATCAGCTTCTTACCATCACCAGAGGGCTCCCATACAGTGCTGGGAAAAAATACCACATGTGAACATATTGTCGATACTTTTTTTTACAAAACAGCATGCAGTTCTAAACTACCAACCTTTAATTTCATGTTTTCTATATTAAGTACAAACAGGACAATTAAGTACAAACAATACATGAGGTAACTAGTCCAGAGTACATACCTCACCATGTTACTATGGTTACCATCGTCAAGGTGACAGAGCAGCTCCAGTGCCTGTGCAGAGGCAGACGTGTCATCCTGCGCGTCATTGGCTGAAGCATCAAACTCAGAGGGGATTCTCCATACTGCACCGCACATCTCAGCCTTCTGTTCTGAAGCTGTGATGTAATAGGCCAATATCTAAATACATGTACCAATATCCGAATGCATCCAAGATAAATAATTACATGATATACGTAACATGTAAACACGAAAGGAGGTTAAAAATCTAGTATTTTAAACCTCCCTCGTATTAAATATTATGTGTATCATGTAGTTATTTATCAACCCTAGATACATATGGCTTCTATTCAGCTATATGTTCTATTTTACCTGGCCTTAAAATACAAACTTGGGAGATCATAAATAAGGCAAGTAAAATAAAATTCAAAGTACATGAACAATGAAAATGGTAAATCATTAATATAACAATAGATCATAGCAGTAGTTGGTTGGTAAAAGAAGATTTGGTTGGTATCTTATTTGTAAATAACCCTTGAAATGCAGATGTTAAAGGTACATTACTTAACAGACTTTTAAAACCGTTACTACATCAATTGCATATAAGGTCATGTAAGTTAGGGGGTCACAGTAAGTGTTACTGACTCTTATTGTACACAGTTGTGAGTACTGCCTTGTCTGCAGGGCTGGCACTGACATGCCACACCTCCCCAGGCTGGTGCAGGAACACATTCTTGTTCAGGATGTTATTTTCATCATCAAAGTCTATCTGGTGAATCTGAAAAGAAACAAAATACATTGTATACTTATCAATAATACAATGAAAAGCCATACTGTGACTTGGTGTGCCCAAAGGCAGTTGGGCATAACACACCATGTCACATACCAGTTGGGCCATGGAGTTAGAAGGACTCCATGGTTGGACATACATGTAAGTTGTAACACCACAAGGAAGTGTCCTATCCTATCAATAATAGAATATTCCACACTATTGAGAGGATGGTCCTGTCAATAACAGAAAAATATAATATCATCAGGTCCTGTCAATGGTGCATTTGTTCTGTTATTAATCAATAGTGCATTTTTCTGATATTGACAGGATCAAATTTTCAATAGCCTTATGCAACACACAGCTGCAGCTGACCGATGATGATGATAAATGTTATACAAAACAAATACATCCAACATTACCCTACCTGGTTTTCGAACTTGAGGGACTGGGTGCCAACCAGGAAGCGGATAGCGTCTGTTTCTGCCACCTGAGGTGTCAGGGCACGCGCCTGTAGTAGGATGAAAACAACCATACTTTATCATCTTTGAAATGTATTCAATTATTATTGTAAATTGTATGTCACATCCTGATATAATTTTCAATCTCTATTCATTCTGTAAATGCTATTTGTGGAGGTATAAGCTTCAACTTCAAGCTTTGATGAAGGGTTTAGGTAGCTAGCTTTAGTAGTGCGAAAAAATGGGGATTATAAAGGTCATAAACCTATGATA